AACTTTAAATTACGCATTGGAAGTGATAACATTAGTTTGCATGGTTATTGTGATGCGGATTGGGCTCGAAATGAAAATGATAGAAGGTCAACAACAAGATATGTATTCTTTGTTGGAGTGGGAGCAATTTCATGGAATTGCAAGAGACAACCAACAATTGCAAGGTCAATAATGGAGGCGGAGTACATGGCAGCAAGTCATGGTGCAATGGAGGCAATATGGTTGAGACAACTTTTGGAGGACATTGAAGATGTGCAAATGGAAGCAACTCCAATGGATAGTGACAATCAAAGATGTCTTACATTTGCAAAGAATCCAAAGCATCATTCAAGGACGGAGCACATTGGCATTCAACAAGAGAGAAGATTGAAATGGGAGTAATTGATATGAAGTATTGTACAACGAAAGAAATGCTTGCTGATTTGTTGACAAAGGTATTAGTAAAAGATAGATATCACATATTGACAAAGGCATTAGGATTAAAAGTCATTTCACTAATAGCAAAGTGAGAGTGTTAAAGTAAAAATAGAATAAGTTATCTTATAAAGGATATTAACTTAGGTAAGTTACTAGTGGTCAAAGGTTTGACTCTTAGTATATGGTAAAGGCATCCAATGGATATAGGACAAAGTCATGGACAAGAGTCAAAGTCAAAAGAATAAAGTATTAACAAGAAAATATCCAAAGAGTAAGTATGAGTCAATAGTATGAGTCATTAGTATGTGTCATAGGATACCTTGAAGGCTCATGAGATGCCAAAAGGATCCTAGGACCACATGTATAAAAGTCAAAGAGTGGAAGTTGTCTTTTAGGACAGCAACCACTACCTATAAGTAATGGATATTGGAAGTGAGAGGCATCTTATTCCATACTCTCTTTATGTGCAACCTTGTTAGTGCTAAGTGTTGTGTCTTCAAAGTGCTTGTTCTTCAATAAATTTAATGCCAATATTAACAACTGCTCTGTAGAAACTAAGGTGACAATAATTTGTGTCTGACCACACATGTGGAAGTTCTGGTTTGTATTACTAAATTTATAGAAGAATTATAGAAGTATTTACTAGTTACTACAATAAGAAGATGTAATAAGTCTGATCCTATTTTTGCTTCCAACACTCCCCCTCATGCCTGTTACTCTTTAAAGACTACTTTTGGGTGAAGTTAGATGTTATTTTATTGCATGCGTTTTAAAAAAATTAATTAGATCCTAAAATATTCTAGGATGGGCAGAGTTGTGCTATTTTGGGGATGGATGAGAACCACCTCAGTGAAATTTAAGTGTGGGCCCTGGATCGGGCAGGCTCTCGAGTCAAAAAAGTATTATTATATAGCAATGCACCTGATTTCATACAGCTGTCTAATAAAGTCTTTCCTCGGAGGCTGTAGCTCCGAAGGCCATGCCACGCGAATCCCGCCGCTCAAAAACGACTTAATGAACCATGACCCATACTGGAATCTCACACATGTGGTCCATGATTTGTCAGAGGAATCGATGAGCACGTTCTGTGCTACCATACAATTCCACTGACACATGTCATTTGATAGAGTAGTTTATTTTACCTGTAACAGTAATTCTTCAGCGAACTGTGACATTTTCTAAGCTTGCTGTGAGTTTTAAATGTTTGTGGTGGCTTGCTCGTCCACGCCTGGACACGTCGGAAATATTATACGCAATTTTCACATCCTGCAGTCATTTTGATTCTGATAATAGATTTCAAAATAGTTGTTGATTTCCAGAGCGCGTAGTTCGAGTTAATCTCGTGGGCACCCGTCCTGACATTGCACTATTTTTTTAACTTGGGAAGGGGATCAGCTTTGCAAGGATCTTGACAAAGCTCGTCGAGGGTCCTACTTTGTTTTCTTTGCTTCTCTTGTGATCTCAAATTCTCTGGGGCCAGTATTCAGGCTTGCGGGCGAAGTTGCTGTTGTACTTTGTTTCTGAGACGGGAATATCTTCTTCCGGTAAGGAGTTGCGGCAAGGTGGTTGTTTCGGGGTGCACCGATCGTGGCGTAGGTGCTGCTGTTGAAGATCGCAGAGATGGCACAGGTGTGGGATATCTTCATGCCTTATCAGTTGCTTTTTGTGGTAGTAGTCGACAGAATCTAGTTTGGGTAGTTGGCGGTATTTGTTGGTGCTTTCTGAGTGGCTTTTGCACCGTGCAGATCGACTGTAGGCAGCCGGTTTGCGTGATCATCTCTGTTCTAAGCAGGTCTCGGTAACAGCACATCGTGGCTGTTTTCTTCAGAACTAAGAAGAAAGTTTAGTAGGTTGTAGCGGTTGATCGTTTTTTGTAGTACGGTGTCTGGAACATTCTCACACATCCGAATATGAAGCTGTGGCTGGCGATGTGAGTGCCTGGACTGTATAGTTCTGAGTGGAGAGTTCCGTAGTCTGGGAGCAAGTAAGTAGGCTTGGGCAGAGCAGTGGTGGAGGGTTGGTACGCAACGCTCTTTGCTTCTTTAGAAGGGAACGCCTACGATTGCTGTGGTTTTCTCGAATAGGTGTTGTTAGCGCAGTTTGTGGCGGGGTACCAGGGTGCACTGCAACTACGTTGTTCCTGTTTTTCAGGAACAACTGCATGAAGGGGTTTGAGAACTTAGTTGGATCGAAGTGAGCTGTACACAGTTAGTTGGAAGTCACAAGAGGTGTTGATTCCCGATCATGAACTTGTGATGCGTTCGTGGAGGCTGTGGTGTCAAATACCTCTATTTACATGAATTTGGTAGCTGGGTTGTTAGCTCTTAATGGTGGTTGGCTTATTTGGCATTAGGATCAGTTTGTTGCTGGTTCGTGACAAAACTGTGACCTCGCAGGATAGATGGTTTTTCGCAACGATGACTTTGTCTAACAAGTCCGGCGCTGTCTTGCTAGCATAACTGTGTTTTAGAATGTCTGAAATCGTTGTCAATTCTGATTCACTCGTAAACGGCATGTCCGGTTACTAATTCCCGTGTTCCTGTCGGCAGTGGGTATCAATTGGTATCAATAAGTATAAGTATGCATCATTTTCTTATCGTCGATGAGTGACTTGGTCCGTAGTTTTTAAAAGAGTGGAACGAATACTCGTACCTGAAACTGCCGCAGATTGTTCACTGGGCTGTGAAATGCGAAATTGGTTTAGGGAGTTGGTCTCATGAGGGGATCTTGAAGATTATCAGTTCGTGAAACAGATAACTTGGATGGTTGAATCTTACTTCGTACAACACATGTAATACCATGTGATGGTAGTGAGTTCATTGTTGAGTTTAGAATGTGAATCTTGTATCTGATTGCGCACCTTTGTTGTCATTTTTAATGTGGAGAAAATGTGGATTGGAAGTAGCCTACAATAACATTTTGAATTAGATCAAAGATTGTTTGGACAAGGATGGTTGACCTATTGTATGTAATGTAGGCAAATATTCCTGTAACTTTCTCAAAGGTCATGGATCTTGCATTGGAGATGAAGTTATGGGGATTGGAAATTGAAGACATTAGTGTTGTAGCTGATAATTACTTCAATGCAAAGCAATGCATTAACCTGTTGGGTAATTTACAAAGAGCATTGCAAGAAGTGCAAGTTATTATTGGATCAAATCAACATATTTTTCAACCATTATTGGAGGATTTGTCACGAATTGTTTTGAAAGCAATGATGTTGGTTAAAAGTTGTTCAGGAGATTGGCGAGAAGTTGCTTTGATGCAAAGAAAAACAAAAGAGACTTATCGGGAATTGTTGATGGAATTAAAGTGGATTAATGACATGATTTTTGAAGTTGGATTAAAGAAACGATTGTGTGAAGAAATAGATCTTACAAGAGTTAATCAATTTAATCCATGTGATTGGGATGAAGTTGAGAGTGATGAAAACCAACTTTATGCAATTCTAGAAGAAGAGCTATCTAGAGTGTCTCTTAGCTCAAAAGAGCATGATTTAATCAAGTATATTAGATTATGGCAAAATTGCATAAGAAATTTTGAAAAGGGAGCAACAAAAAAAATTAATTTTCCAAACCTTCATATACGAGACTTTGAAACTCTTCCTGAACCCTTAACTAGTGGTACATATCTTTATATCTCAACATGGTTGGGCCTTTGTACTGTTACAAAAGTTATTAAATATGATTATGTTGATCCCCATGTTGATGTTGAAAAAGAAGCATCTATCTTATCTCAATTAAATCACCCAAATATTATAAGAATATTTTATTCTTACTTTCATACAAATGACATGGGAAAAAAAATTCTAATTGGCATGGAAAAAGGTGATATTGTTCTCACAAAGATATTATTTAAAGAAAAGACATTAAAGTTATCTCTTTTAAAGAAAATAGACATTATTGTTCAAATTGCAAAAGCAATGTATTATCTCCACAATATGATGATTGCTCATCGTGATTTAAAGCCTGACAATATTGTAGTTGTAGATTATGAAAAAACAAAGAAAAGAAGTGGTTATTTCCATGTGAAGTTAATTGATTTTGGAATATCCAAATTTGAAGTAAATGGTTTGGAAATACCAACAAGAGGAGAGCCATATGGAACTTCTGGTTATATAGCTCCTGAGGCAAAACAAGTTTCGAAGACATCACTTCAAAAGGTTGATGCATTTAAGGTAGATGTTTTTAGTTTTGGAATGGTTTGCTATGACATTTTGGTACAAGAAGAAGATAAATCTACTGAAGATAATATTTCCAAGAGAATACAATATAAAATACAAAGATTGGAAAAGTTTAGTTGTCCTTTGGAATTCAGATTAATGATTAAAGATTGCTTGTTTGAAAATGATCCTTCAAGAAGACCTTCATTTAAGGACATTTTAAAAAGATTGATGGACATAAAAAAAATTGCCCTTGAAGATCAACTTAATGTTGGTTTGTCACAATCAAACCATGGATTGTGGAATTGTGTTCATTTTCTTCATATGATTTTACCAATTTCTTTTGCAAGCTTGTGGAGAATGACAACTAAAATCCAAAAAAATACAAATAATAGTAGATCCATCAATTTCCATTCAAATGTAAGTTTCTCCTATGATTATTAATTCTTCAAGACATAGTTTTTTTTTTTTTTTTTTTTTTTTGGCCAAAAAAATAATTTTAGTTATCTCTTCACAAAAACTAAAATTATATTAACTAACTTAATTAAATATTATAGAAAAATACAAATTTATATATATGTATATCTAAAAAAACTATTATATAAATTTTAACAATAATAATTCCATTATTAATAAAGATTTTAAGTTTTTATTATGTTGTTTGTTTCATTAGATTGACAACACTTTTCCAAATCATCAAAATGCAATAAGTTTACAATCACGGATTTCAGAACTAGAAAAAGCACTTGTGAAGAATTCTATGGTTGGTGTGGTTGGAATTGCTGGTATTGGCAAGACTACATTAGTAAATGCTTTCAAAGAATATTATCAAGAAAAAATATTGAAGCAAAAAAATTCCTTGCCCATTGCAAATTACCATACAAAAAAAAAATATTTTGGTAATAAATATTTTATACATGATATAATTATAATGGATTTGAAAAATGAAACCTTAAATGAATTGAAGAAGATTTTGAAATATTTAGATAACAAAATAGAGGTCCAAAATCTTATAGAAGGAAAAAGCTTTTTAACAAATATCCTTCAAAAACAAAATATTATTTTGATCTTAGATGATGTTTCAAGTGAAGATATTCTACATGAATTAATAGATGTGACAATGTTTGGCACAAATAGAAGCAAGTTGATAGCTACTAGTCGGACATGGGAAGTTTTAAAAAATATTGTAAATGAAAGAAATAAAATTGAATTGATTTCACTTAAAGACAATGAAGCTATGGAAATATTTTCCAAGTATGCTTTCCAAGATGGACGTCCTAATATACCTCACTTATCCAAAATATCCATGGCTGTTGTCAAAGCTTGTGTTGGACATCCTTTGACATTACAAATTGTGGGATCTTCTTTACATAACCAAACAAGTCTTTGTGTATGGGAGCTAGTTATTCAAAGATTGAAAAGGGCTTCAAAATTTCTTGGCTCAAATAATCCTTGGACAAGACTAGAGCCTATATATGAAGCCCTTAATGATGAAGAAAAGACCATGTTTTTGGATATAGCATGTTTCCATTGTAAAGATATATGGAATGAAAATATCAATGAAGATATAATTATTCAATTTTATAAATATGAATTCAAGAATGCTAAAGAAATTATTACAAGCCTCAAAGACAAGTCATTCATCAAAATAGATTCATTTGGATATATAAGTATTCATGATTTGCTTCGTGACATGGCTCGAAGAATTTCTAGAGAAAATTTTGATGGAATTCGGAGATGGAATGAAAGTGATGGATCATTTGTTTGTCATGCACAAAAGGTATGATACTAAAATCATTATATTATCTAAGATAATTATATTTTTTTATTATAAAATTTTATTTATATAAATAATAGTATTAAAATATGTTAATACATGTCTATCCATATTTATTGATAAATAATAATATATCATGCATCATGTGCTACAGGAAGATTTGGACGTGAGAGGTATATGTTTTTCAAGTTGTGAAAAGTACATGAATGCATATGATGATATAAAAGTCAAATTTCAACATCTCCATCTTTTAAGTTTTACCAAATACTCAAATATAAATATAATAAGCTCATACTTAAAAAATACTCATGAACTAAGGTGGTTGAGAGTTCAATATTCTACAACAAATAATATGATAATATTACAAGAAAATATTAAAATAATTTCTGATATTACATGTTACAAAAATATTCATAAAATTATTATTTTAGAACTAATTGACATAGATTTTTTAAAATCATTTTCAATTGACACATCTAATATGATGTACTTAAAACATTTAAACTTAAAAAATTGTACAAATCTTGAAAATATCAATCTTTATGGAGAACAAAAAATTGCTTTAGAAATTATTAATCTTGAAGGATGCAAAAATCTAAAAGATATAACAAATCTACTTGATAATATACAATCTTTAAAAAAAGTGAATATGAAAAATTGTACAAATTTATTAAATATAGGAAAAAATATACATCCTTTATCTTCAATAATAGAAATATACTTGCAAGAATGTTGGAGTTTAAATGAAATTCATAAAGCTTTTGAAAACTTACACTTTCTTGAAAATCTTGTTTTATCAAATTGCAAGAATATAAAAAAAATCTATGCAAATTTTATAAGCATGACAAATTTGAAGAAGATATGGCTTGATGGATGTGAAAACTTAGAAGACATGCCATTAGGTTTGAAGACACTATCATCATTGGAATATTTGAATCTTCAAAATTGTGCAAAAATGAAGTTTGATGATGATGCATTTGATGCACTCCTATCCTTACAAATATTGTTATTAGATGGTTGCTTGGAGTTGAAAGAGGTACATGAAGGATTTAGCAACCTCATATCTATTCAAGAACTTAGTTTTAAACATTGCAAGAACTTGAAAGCCATCTATGCTAGTTTTGAGGGCATGACAAATTTGAAAAAGATATGGCTTAATGGATGTGAAAACTTAGAAGACACGCTATTCAATTTGAAGGCACTATTATCATTAGAGTATTTAAATCTTCAAAATTGTACAAAAATGAAGTTCGATGATGATGCATTTGATGCACTCTTATCCTTACAAATATTAGTATTAGATGGTTGCTTGGACTTAAAAGAGATGCATGAAGGATTCAGCAACCTTACATCTATTCAAGAACTTAGTTTTACAAATTGCAAGAACTTAAAAGCCATCCATGCTAATTTTGAGGGCATGACAAATTTGAAGAAGGTATGGCTTGATGGATGTGAAAATTTAGAAGACATGCCATTAGGTTTGATGACACTATCATCATTAGAGTATTTAGATCTTCAAAATTGTACAAAAATGAAGTTTGATAATGGTGCATTTGATGCACTCCTATCCTTACAAATATTGTTATTAGATGGTTGCTTGGAGTTGAAAGAGGTGCATAAAGGATTTAGCAATCTAACATCTATTCAAAAACTTAGTTTTACAAATTGCATGAATTTGGAAGCCATCCATGTTAGTTTTGAGGGCATGACAAATTTGAAGAAGATATGGCTTGATGGATGTGAAAACTTGGAAGACATGCCATTAGGTTTGAAGACACTATCATCATTGGAGTATTTAAATCTTCAAGATTGTACAAATATGAAGTTTGATGATGATGCATTTGATGCACTCCTATCCCTACAAATATTGTTATTAGATGGTTGCTTTGACTTGAAAGAGGTGCATGAAGGATTCAAGAACCTCACATCTATTCAAGAACTTAGTTTAAAAAATTGCAAGAACTTGAAAGCCATCCATGCTAGTTTTGAGGGCATGACAAATTTGAAGAAGATATGGCTTAATGGATGTGAACACTTAGAAGACATGCTTTTAGATTTGAAGACACTATCATCATTGGAGTATTTAGATCTTCAAAATTGTATAAAAATTAAGTTTGATGATGATGCATTTGATGCACTCCTATCTTTACAAATATTATTATTAGATGGTTGCTTGGAGTTGAAAGAGGTGCATGAAGGATTTAGCAACCTCACATCTATTCAAGAACTTAGTTTTACAAATTGCAAGAACTTGAAAGCCATTCATGTTAGTTTTGAGGGTATGACAAATTTGAAGAAGATATGGCTTGACGGATGTAAAAACTTAGAAGTCATGCCATTGGATTTAAAGATACTATCATCATTGGAGTATTTAAATCTTCAAGATTGTGCAAATATGAAGTTTGATGATGATGCATTTGATGCACTCCTATCCCTACAAATATTATTATTAGATGGTTGCTTTGACTTGAAAGAGGTACATGAAGGATTTAGCAACCTCACATCTATTCAAGAACTTAGTTTTGTAAATTGTCAGAACTTGAAAGCCATCTATGCTAGTTTTGAGGGCATGAAAAATTTGAAGAAGATATGCCTTGATGGATGTGAAAACTTGGAAGACATGCCATTAGGTTTGAAGACACTATCATCATTGAAGTATTTAGATCTTCAAGATTGTATAAAAATGAAGTTTGATGATGATGCATTTAATGCACTCCTATCCTTACAAATATTATTATTAGATGGTTGCTTGGACTTGAAAGAGGTGCATGAAAGATTTAGCAACCTCACATCTATTCAAGAACTTAGTTTTACAAATTGTAAGAACTTGAAAGCCATCTATGCTAGTTTTGAGGGCATGACAAATTTGAAGAAGATATGGCTTGATGGATGTGAAAACTTAGAAGAAATGCCTTTAGATTTGAAGATACTATCATCATTAGAGTATTTAGATCTTCAAAATTGTGTAAAAATGAAGTTTGATGATGATGCATTTGATGCACTCCTATCCTTACAAATATTGTTATTAGATGGTTGCTTGGAGTTGAAAGAGATACACAAAGGATTTAGCAACCTCACATCTATTCAAGAATTTAGTTTTACAAATTGTAAGAACTTGAAAGCTATCTATGCTAGTTTTGAGGGCATGAGAAATTTGAAGAAGGTATGGCTTGATGGATGTGAAAACTTAGAAGTCATGCCATTAGGTTTGAAGACACTATCATTATTGGAGTATTTAAATCTTCAAAATTGTACAAAAATGAAGTTTGATGATGATGCATTTGATGCACTCCTATCCTTACAAATATTGTTATTAGATGGTTGCTTGGAGTTGAAAGAGGTACATGAAGGATTTAGCAACCTCACATCTATTCAAGAACTTAGTTTGAAAAATTCCAAGAACTTAAAAGCCATCTATGCTAGTTTTGAGGGCATGACAAATTTGAAGAAGGTATGGCTTGATGGATGTGAAAACTTAAAAGACATGCCATTAGGTTTGAAGACACTATCATCATTGGAGTACTTAAATCTTCAAAATTGTACAAAAATGAAGTTTGATGATGATTCATTTGATGCACTCCTATCTTTACAAATATTATTATTAGATGGTTGCTTGGAGTTGAAAGAGGTACATGAAGGATTTAGCAATCTTACTTCTATTTAAGAACTTAGTTTTACAAATTGTCAGAACTTAAAAGCCATCTATGCTAGTTTTGAGGGCATGACAAATTTGAAGATATGGCTTAATGGATGTGAAAACTTGGAAGACATCCTATTAGGTTTGAAGGCACTATTATCATTAGAGTATTTAAATCTTCAAAATTGTGTAAATATGAAGTTTGATGATGATGCATTTGATGCACTCCTATCCCTACAAATATTATTATTAGATGGTTTCTTTGACTTGAAAGAGGTGCATGAAGGATTTAGGAACCTCACATCTATTCAAGAACTTAGTTTGAAAAATTCAAAGAATTTGAAAGCCATCCATGCTAGTTTTGAGGGTATGACAAATTTGAAGAAGGTATAGCTTGATGGATGTGAAAACTTGGAAGATATGCCATTGGATTTGAATAGAGTATTATTATTAGGATTTTTGGAATTTTAACATTGTTAGAAAATATAATTTATTTTTATTGATGTATTTGATGCACTCTTTTACTTTAAAATATTTTTGTTAGATTATTGTATGTTATTGGAGTAGATCCACAAATATGTTTGGTAACTTTTTATTTATTAAAAAACTTAGTTTTTGAAATTTTATGAAATCTTATAATGTATCTGTGTCAGATTTAAAGGCATGACAAGTTTGATTATTTTATTATAAATTATTATTTTTTTATTTAATTAATAAGTGTATATATGTTTGGAGATAGAGGGTGTGTCTATGTAAGTAAAGTAGAACTTTCACCTAGTGATTTCCTTTAAAATTTCTAAATTTCACATCTTTCTTGCACATTTTAAACTTTTATAAATTTATTTTTTATCATGTTTAAATTTTTAATAAGTTACCTAATTGATTATTATTGGTATTTCGACTTTTACATATTAAAATACTCTCTTATAAGTAAATAAATATTAGATTATAATATATCTTTAAGTTTTCTTATAGTTCTTTAAATATGATTTTATTTTTTATATAAAAGATACTTGACTTACACCATTATCAATATCAACAATTATTTACTTATATGTATAATATAATTTTTAATCTAAAGGCTTGTATTTAAATCTTTTAATACTATAAGTTTTGACAATTTCAAATACTTTGAGTGACTTAACTATGTAATTTACAAAGATTTGCACATTGATTTTTGTTTATGTAAATATAAATGTCTAAAAGCATCTTAATTTCTTTTTTGTAAATTTGATAATTAAAAATAAATATATCTAATATCAATTTATTTTACTTTTAATATAATAGTATACTTTGTATAGTTTTGTAAACAAATTCGATAGGATTTAGAAATTCTAATATAAAATAAAAAACAATAAATATTATTTATTTATTCTTTAATTATTACAAAACCTATGCTTAAAAACAATGTAAAAATCACTTCAAGTTAACAACATGTGAGGCACATGGCCAACTTGTTGACCACGTTTCTAATTCCAAAAAGTCAATTAAAGACACCTATAAAGTCAAAGCAACATCTATAAGGTTCTAAAAAGCTTCCATACCAAATACTATAGAATTAACTTTCTTTTATCTACTTTTACTTACTTCTATCTATTTATATATGTAATTATTGGCTTACATGCATATGTCCATGATATAATGTAAAAATAACATACTATGATAAGTGCAACATTCTATTAGTGTAGCCCACATCATTATCTATAATTGATCTTGAAGCTCTTCACAATCATTAAAAAAATAAATATAATATTAAAAGATAAATAATCAATCAACTTATATTTTTAATATTTCAAAAGTTAGGATTTTCTAATTGAAATTTTTTGTTTCATTATTGCCTATATTTATTAGAACTACTCCATTATCCACTTGTTAATATTCATTTATTAAGTTGATTTTCAAAATATTTTTTATTTTCTAATAATTTTCTATGTAATGTCCTAAGCTTGTAAATGAACAAAAAATATCAAAAAAAAAAAGACTAATTTTTAAAAATACACAAAATATTGACTGATAATAAAGAATGAAATATATAACATAATTATAATTAAATTATAAGATTTGAATGTCAATATATTATAAGTGTATTTATATTAAATCTTGAAATATTTTATTTAAATAATAATGTTTAGATTTTGAATTATTTTGAATCATATAAAAATATTTTATGCTTTCTAAAATTTAATTCTAAAAGAATTTAATATATTAAAGAATACAAATTTTTAAATATGTATATAATTTTTTTAAAATTTTATTTTTCAAAGAAAATTATATGTAATTTGAAAAAGTATAAAACATCTATATAATTCAATATTCAAATATTTAATGTATATATACATACATGTTTTTAACAAAAACTATACTATTAATTAATATATTTTTTTGCTCACATCAAATTACTTGAATGATATGGTTGTTTGTAACATTAATAAAATAATTTAGTAGTAAAAGTAGAATAAATAGAATATAAAAATTATAAAATTATAAAATATTACAATTTGATGAATAAGAAAAAAAGACATTTAAATAATTGAATATGAATAACATGATAAGAAAAATCAACTAAAAAATATATATTACACTAAGTACCATAGTTGTTATATACATCACATAAATAAAAAAAAACAACCCAATATAAAGATAATACTACAAAGAATAAAATTTTCAAAAACAAAAATTATAATTTTTTTATAATTATTGATAATAATATGGAATATTTAAGTTAAGATATATATATATATATATATATATATATATATATATATATTCTTAAAAGACTATTTTAAAAGACTATCATATATAAGCCTTATTAAGGTCATTTGCTACAAAATACTAAAATAAACTAAATAATTATTTTTCATTACAAATCTAGATATGCCAATTTCAATTATTGTTCTTAAAATCACAAATATAATAAAAAGGATATATTTTATAATTTATTTTTATATTTGTAGTCATTTTTATCAATTATTAATATAAAAACTTAATTTTTTTTAAAAAGCCTTTTCATAAAATAAACCTAATACTATTCATCCCATGTAAAAAAAAATATATAATTTACCTCATTTTTATTTTTTAATACTTTCAGATTAATTTTTCTAAATATAAAATCAATTAAGTAAAGCTTGATGATATTAATCAATCAAAAGATTTTAAAGTTGTGACTTTTTACCTTATCTCCTAAATATTAAGACTTCTTTGTTGCTATTAAATTCTTAAATTAAAAACAAAAGTCATACTTTATATATATATATATATATATATATATATATATATAATTCATTGGAAGAATATAAATTCTTTAATAATTATTACAATGTAAATCAATAAGTATTTATGATAATACGACCATTGATAATATGATCTAATTTAGCTTCTTCAAATATTAGAAATTAATTAGTATACTTTTTGTACTGGATCATCAATCCAAGCTTCCAAATCCATCTACCTATCAATATCCACGATGGAATGTGGTTGCAATTGCAACCAATTCAATCTTCCAAAGCCGATCTCTTCCACTCTCCTTCATATAATAAAGAATGATATTAAAACTTTGTAACATGAATGCAATCCAACTTGATTCATCATAAGATTGAAAAGAAAAATATTCCTTATATTGGGTAAGATTCATTATACTTAGGCCTATTTTGATAATACGATTATTAGCAAAGATAGTAGATACTTCTTTTTTTAAGTCAACAATGTGGCTTGGTTAATAATCTAATTCTTCATAGTCATCAATTAACTAGCCGGATGGTGTTCTTGACCTAAACTATAGTTTTGGCATTTGTGTAGTTTTGAGGTTAGTATTCTCCATTACTTTATATAATAATATTGCTTCATTGAAATAACGTCTACCAATATGTTTTGATTGTTGTTAAAGAAAGTGACTTTGTTATTGTACTTGTTACCAAAAACTATTCCTATTTATCAAAGACATTAATCTAAAAAAACTAAAAAACCAATATAGTCTTGTATCATTCAAAAAGACTAGAAAATCACTTTAAAATAGTAAACTATTAAATTAGAATAGTTATTGCAAAAGACAAGAAGACTAAAAAATCTTCAAATAAGACTAAAGACTAAAAAAACATTGATAATAGAAAAAAAAAGATTCATTCTTGCTTCCATATATAGCATCTAATTAAAAACTATGTGACAATAATTTATAAGACTTCCAATATGTGTTCAACTTGTAAAATATATGTTTAACTTACAAGACAAGTTTCTTAAATATGCGCCATATAATAAGCTTGTTCCACAAGCTACTAGCATGTATGACACATAGTTAATTTAATGGCCAAGTTTCTAATCTATCAATTAACTACAAACATGTCTAAAGTCAAATATATATCTGTAAAGCTTTGTCAAAAGATAATATCAAATCTACTTATATTTACCTTCTACCTAATATTTCTTATTTAAATAAATATAGATATCTATGATTTTATCTTTCTATTTAGGAATGAATTCCACAAAAAGCAACAATCATATGTTGATGAAATCCAAGATGTGAAAAATTATATTTGCTATATACTTTGATCTTTGTTCTCTTTGAAGGTGGTTGATAGGTCTTCTCAGCCATTGATAGTGTCCTATACTAAGATAAGAAGACTACCTTATTATTTGATTATTATTGATGCTTTCGTAATTTCTTTCAAAAATAATATTTAGAATATTGTTAAGGTTGGTTCGAAGCATGAAGGAACTCTTCTAAGGTCGTGATACCAAATACATTATATTTCACCATCTATTTAAAGAAAAATATGTCATTCTTGAGAGTCTTTATTTCTATAGCGTCATTTTGAAGGTTCTGATAATCACAATATTTCATTAGGTAACTTAACAAATGATAATTCTTGAATTGAGTTTGTTGATTGTTGATTCTCCATCTCCTTAGTACCACAAATGCACAAAAACTACAAACAACAATAGAAGATAGAATGTAATTATTTTAAAATTGTGTTTCTATCATAATAAAGATTTATTATCTTTCATCTTGATTTGAATTGATGTTGTCAGTAAAAAGTATCAACCTTTTTTGATGGATTTACTAGATTCTTAAATGGCTCTTATGTACATTCACTAATATCATATGTGTACCAATGAACAAGAATTTCTAACCTATTTCAGCACCTACTTAAATCTAAGACTGCTTCAACCTCATATTTTTTATTATTGTCTACTTC